CATATATTTATTCGTTAATGTTATTTTAATTTTCCCACAATCAGATGAGTATACCTTAAATTACGTCACGTTTCTCAGTGACCACAGTGAATGTGTATAGATTATTCGCTACACTACCACAATCCGAGTTCGAGTCCCGCTGCAGTCCAGTCCAGGATTGAAAGACATTTTAGGAGACTATGCTATGTGAAATTAATGGAAAACATGCTTAGGTCGCATAAACTTGTGGGAACTTGTGTTTATTATTTACAACTTCCTTCTATATTCGCTAAATTATTTTAAATACCGCCTTTATTTCGGATTTCAGTTGTCCTCCTGGATACTCTTGAGTCTTCTTGGAAGGGATGGGCGAAGAATACCCGAAAGTACATCGGCGTAAGTCACTGTTTTGTAAAAGGTGTTTGTGAAATATGTCCGTTATGCATGAAAGCAAACTAAATGACCCACACAAATGTGCTCAACACTTTAAAACATTATTTATACACGCAACATCTCGCCTCATGTTGCATCGAAATCACCCCTTCACACTTTGCTTCCATTAGTTTTCGCTATCACGACTTATTGTAACCAATAATCGCGTTTGTTGTGGGACTGACGATCTGCTGAAACACCGTCCACTCATCGTCTGGACGTAAAAAGAGGGAGGGGGGAAATGTTTGCATGATACCGCAATTCTGCATGTCTTCACCACGCACATCTTTTGGCCCGAGGGCAATTATTTTATATCTGCCAAGCTGCGGTTGCTGTGCCAACATTCTAATGCCAAGACTGCACGATTTGTGTTTGAGACAACAGGCCGAGGGCGAAAGATTTCGGACTCGTCTGTTGTCCAATGCTCATTGAGGTGGGAAAATGGGGCTAAGGCCAAGAAACTAGTTGACTAATGCCGAGGAAACATTTGAGGCAGAATATGCAAAAAGGACAACATATTTTGTTTTTTTTTGCTTCCATTATTTGCACATTCATCCATCACCGCTTCTTTTAGCTCCAAGTTACATCTACTCTACCAACATGCATTGCCTCAGCTTGTTGGAAGCATACTCATTTCAACAAGGCTACATCTGGTGGGCTAATTTAATTATAAAATTGAAACAATAATGGAATGGCTGTAACTGATGCAAAGTAATTTAATTTGATTTGATTTAAACTAATTTAGCTGGTAAGCCAATACTTGATGGGTGATAAGGGAGGAGGCAATGTCGAGTAGACAGATTGGGGTAAAGTTTCAGGAAGGGATTACCTCGTTGCTCATGCTAATTCATATACAGGAAGGCAATTGAAAAAAAATTAAAACCCACACTTGCTAATGGCAAGAGATCTATGATATTAAAAAAGAGAATTTCATTGGGAAGAGACGAATTCTCATATGATGGTAGGCAAATGACACATGAATTAGATATAAATTAAGGTATCGTAGAACAACAGAACAATTATGAAATTAAAATAATTGTATAACTCAAAAATGCCTATAAACGAGATTAAAGGAAAGCAACAAAAGCTAATAAAAGATTAATAATAAATAAGGCCAAAAATAAAGGATATAATGTTAAAGAATAGATAAGATAAATGACGCAATATATTACATTAAAAAAACTAATTTTTAAAAATTGCTAATACTTTTTTGTATGGGTTTTTATTCCATCTTTTCTACTCTTTCAGATTTGATCAATCCATGCTCTATTTTAACAAGTTGGATCATTTCCTGACGCTTGATGAGCTTGAATCCAGACGCATTTATATCTAGTCTTTTGCAACACTCTGCAAGCCTCCGAAACAAATGAACTCATAATGTCTTCTTTTTATAATATGTTTTATACTATCGCTGCCTTAGAGAAACCTTGCTAGAGACCCAACTGTGTTGATAATTAATATATTGGTACCTCTGTATCCACTCACATTCGCATTTTTGTCGTTCATGCCTGGCATATGGTTTAATAGCCGATTCCTGAATCTTCGATACCGAAGCTTTTATTATTTACTGCCTACTTATAACATTGTGTCTCATATTTGCGGAGCTATCTGTCTCATGACTAAGATATGAAGTTAATCTCAATTGTCTACTAGCTCGGTGCCACAAATGGAGTGTTATACGATAGACTTTTCACAATATTCAGTGAGGTCATACCGCTAATCTAGGCCAAAGTTACTTCGGTTATACCTCCTTTGTAGCTATATTTTTTATTTTTTTATGGGGTTTAGAGTAATATAGCTATTTTAAAGTGACTAGAATGTGTTTTATCAAAGATCCCACGTTCATTCCTCATTTCTGGCTTCTTATAATTTCGATTTCGATTGTTAATGAAGACAGTTTTGGTGATCTCTTTTGCTCGAGTTTTTTATCTTCTAGAGTTTCAGCTTATCAAAAAAAATAGTATATCTCAAAAAGGGACAAATAATGCTAATATAACCTTTTTCACAATTTATCTGATGTTATCCTCTTGTTAAGTCCTCAGACAATTTATGGAACTCTTTCAATGTGCTCCCGAGTTAATCTAGATCTGCTCCGGCTAATTGAGTAATTTGCTGGTTAGTCTTCTAATAATGAACTGGCTGGCCAGTTTTCTATTTTCATAATGTTGATTGTAAGTAACTGTTGGCCTTTTTACACGGTTTTGTGCACAGCTCAAAAGTTAGAGCACCATATTTCTGGATTGATTACTTTGGTCTTGATTTCTGTATGATTCTCAAGCGACTAACTAACGTAGTACGCTGGTGACCATTTATCTTTTCTGTCTAAGGGCCCATTTGTGCTTTATCTCAAATTATTAGGATACCACAAAAACAGGGCAGTATAACAAGGAAACCTAACATCTTTATTTCATTATTTACTTAGCATTCGGTTTCACGAGATCTGTCATGTTCTACTAACAGCAAACTTAAGCTACGAAATAAGTACAGGATGTGACTTCGGTTAGAACGAGGTGAATGATGAATATTAAAGCATTTTAAAGCCAAGGATACACTGGAATTAAAACATTATGTCAGATATGAGACCCATAGTTCAATGAGACGCCCTTGGAATAATAACATTAGACCAGATTCTGAAGGGTTGGATTCTTTGTCTTGTGAGTATGATTATATTTGTGCCTCTTTGACTGAAGATATTAGAAAAAATGGCGTTATGGAAGAGAATGAAGTTCTTAAATATTTTTTCATTACTCTTCTTTCTGAGAGCTGTTTTTCGACTTGTTCTCTTGCGGAGTTACCAGATGTTGATTTTCACTCTGATTTCCTTCTATTGCTGGAACTTAGGCTAGCTTTCGGCTCCTTTCCAGATTAGGCCTTATCTGGAACTTTTAGACTTTCTGTCCAGTTTCACAATTACATCCAGCTTAAGGTGATAAGAGAATAGAATTTTATTGCTCCTAAATGATAGTTCAAGTTGCGAAATAGCTGCCGGCACGAATTTTTAAATGGCTTCTCTGACTTGGCTCGGCATCCAACTATACTCCATTATGCTAAAAACGTCGTGATACCTTCAGAGATATTTGCTATTTATTTAGTATATTCTGATCCCTTTGAAGTTGTTTAGGAAGTGTTTAGGAATTATAAATTCACAGACAAGTATTTTCACCCCCAGAATTTTGTTTCCAATCTAGTATTGGCGGTGGAGATAGTGATTCTATATCATAGAAGGCAGATGTTACTGCGGAAAGATCATAAGCTTCAGTTTTTTGGCCCAATATTCTTTAGCCATTCTTACAGCAACAGTCATAAATTAATGTAAATCTTTTGCCATTCTTGGTGGTCCTGAGCTCAGTTGCAGAACATATTCCGAAACAGTCGACCCTTTACTATCCTCGCAATTCTGTGAGCGTTGTTTAAAGTTGTTAAATGCCTAATTCCTAGAATTTGTTTCATGATGAAAAGTGTCTTTCACATTACTTAGAGGTTACTTCTTTACTATGTCCAGCAAGTGATCTTTAAGCTACGAGAGTGATACATCATATATTTTTATTGAGATGCCCAGAAATTTAGTGATGCTTCTAGGAAGAATGACTTCTATTTCATATAAATGAACTTTAACCTGATTGAATTCCACTATAGAATATGCCTATCCAAAATGGTCTTCAAGGTTATATTCCTGAACATAATTATTGGGAGGCCACTATAAGACTATTTTATTGGCGAATAATGAATGCCTTCTGATATCATCAAAAAAGAAAATTATGTATTGGTAACCTTAGTGCTAACTGGAATGAAAACACATATCAGAATACAAAAGGAAATAAGGGAGATATGAAAATAATTAATCATATAAAAATTACTATTTTCTATCATTAAAATTCTCATAATCTAATCTAAAATATCAATAAAAATTCCAATTCCAATGAGAAGAAAAGGTAAAGGACAAAGCAAACAGCAAAGAGTTGCAATAAAATGTACATAGGGACAACATGAAACGGAGGCACTAGATAAATAAAAAAACAAAAATATCATATAATAAATAGAATTTGAGATGAGATGAAATGACATTAGAAACTAACGTGTGGGGCGCATTGTGGGTTATCTTTTAACAATTAATCCGAGTGCAGTCATCAGGAATAAGAATTCAACAATTTTTCATTTAGCCAAGAGTAAAAGTTTTAATTTTTCTCGGATACAGAGGGATCCATATGTTCACTATCCTCATTTGGGTGTGGGTTTGGCAGGCAGCTGGCGTATTAGTTTACTACCAGTTCAGGATTGGGATAAAATCCCATGCTTCTCTGCAGGTTGGCAAGCAAATTATATTAATGCGTCTGCACTCTCGTTCACCCTGCCTCAGGAATACCCATAGATATAGGAAAAGTTACATGATTTGAAGGAATTTTGGCAGTGCCAGTGTTTACCCGATAAAATCGAGTATTCTAAATGCCCATTTGGCTGATAAGTGTACTGACCATGCCAGATTGGCACTGTCCAAAAGCAGTACCTGCTGAAAAATTATTCAATATTTTGAGCTATTGTCTGCACTAAACTTAGACTTAAGCAATATATACATTCTCAAGTTAAAATAATGTTTTTAACTCATTATACTGAATAAAATGTTTTATATAGTACTAATTAGGATACAAAGAATTGGTTGACATTAAGAATAGTTTAGACGCTAGCCGTGCTCTTAATCATACGAGGCCCTAGACAGAACCGTTCTCTAAACGAAAACCTGAATTATGAGGGAAATAAAATATCATGAATGTAAACGGGAGAAAAACTAAACTGAAGTATTGTGTGGGAAATTATTAAAGTGAATAATTAAGCAATTTCGATAGTTATGCTAATAAAAGAACTAGAATTGTGATTAGAAAAAAACATATCTAAGGAAATAAACTCTTATTTGTCATAGTTTATGTTAGGTCAAAAAAAGAAAATGAAATATCCAGGCTAGTTTGTCCTAAAATAACCTGGTAGGAAGTAACTTGGAGGTGGAATTCTGAAATATTTAGAAAAATCAAAGCAAGTTATTACAAATAAACTTGAATTAAGACAACAGCAAGATGTACGGATACTTAGTGAATTTCTTGGCTTCTCAAACAGTCGATAGCAGTTTTTTTATTTTTTATGATATCTACAAGTTTATATTGTCAAAATACCACTACTAATGTGTCAGTATAAACAAAATAATCTTTTGAATCCAACATGCAGATAATAAACTTGATTTTGTCTTTGCCTATTGGCAGCAGACTTCGGCACATGACGAAATAAAGGGATCTCTGAGCTCGCCATTTATCCTGAACAGTTCATAAGACCAAGCGAAATTTATAACTAGCTTAAA